TTTTGTTGTTATATATTTTTGTTTGATGAATTTCTAAACCAATTTGTGTGGTTTATGATATGACATGCACACCTATGCTAGGAGATATGTTGAGTCAAATAACTTTGAGAAGTAAAAGAATTGTAGATCTCCTCACATCATTGAGAGCAATTGAAAGAGATATTTAGAGTTATTTATGTTGGAGGATTTTAGGAGGTATTCACGAAGTAGGTTCTCAAATAGAAATAAAAAGACTTACGGTTCTATTAGCAAGTATACCGGTAGGTCGCTTCCTTTTACTAATCATGCAAAACACCTAGTATGAGAGCGTATTTTAATTTTAAGTATTTTTTTTTTAAATGATAGTTATTATTTATGATAATGTTTAACTAGGGATTTATTTTGCAGGCTTTACAGCTTGGACGCGATCCAACTCCGATGAAGTTATACATGGAGACACATATACTAGGTGGGAGGTATATAAAAAAAGTGCAATAGTTCATAGACAACCAAGCTAGGGCGTAGTTCATGGACAACCAAGCAAGGGTGTTTATTGAAAGTTAACTTTTAAACCTTGTGTATATTATCTGGACTAATTTTTTTTATCCATAACTTTGAATTATTTATTTAGTTGTGTAAGAACAATATAATGCTAGTATACATGCCAAACACAGGGAGTACCTTTTAACCCATTTAAACTATAACCTAGAGTTATGGTTGGAGGTTGGAGCAACTAGTAAATTCGATAGAAATTAAGTTTATGATATCTTTATAAATATGACCTGAGATATGAGGTTAGGTTGTAGTGTCTTAATCATAAATACCCTATAATCTGACATAAATCAACCATCATAAACTGTTTAGGAGTTGGTTGAAAATTGGATTAGTGCCACGAGGGAGGAAAAATATGAAGAACAAAAGAGGTAACAGTTGGAGAAAATGATTTCATACATGTCTACTTATTATTCACTCCCTTACGGATCTTCATAGGATTTTTGTCGCCTCTTCTTAATGTTTATAAATATTTGTGATTGATTTTTATAATGTAATTAATAATACTAAATGTATTCTTCAAGTTAAATATTTTGTTTATTATTACTTAATGTCAAATCCAAAGTATATGTGTTAAAAAACCATAATTGATTCAATTAAAAGTCAAGATTATACATAGTTTATTTAAATCGAAACCTGGAAACTACAAAGCCAATGATGTCAAGGGAAATGTTTGCTTGATTTTCTCTCATTTTTTGTTAAAGATCTAGCAAAGTCCACAAAATCAAATAATGTAGCGTGCTTTTGACCCTAGAAACATTGCTTGCAGGATCATGCAAGACATCACCTTGTTCATCATAAAGTTTTATTTAAAAAAAAAATGCTCTACAGAGTTGGTTTGCTCTATATTTAATTTATATTATCAGAAATTCTCTGTCAATTGTATTGTTTATTGATGAACTCAAAAAAAATTATTCAAAGAAACACGCAAGAGGTGGGTAAAATGGTAGAAAGCCGGTTTATATCCATTTAGCCACGCAAGGAATGGATTGCAAATGTGATAGGCGTGGCGAGCAGCAGGAGGATGATTTTATTTTAAAAAAAATTAAGTCCACTCATAGATTAATTGAATGTGTTCATAAAAAATAACTATTAAATCTGGATTTTAACTTGTGATTTCGCATAATCAACTTTGATTATAAAATTAAATGTTGATTCATCTCTTCAAATTAATTATTTATATTTATAATCTTAACAGATATAATTTAATTAGATAAAATTTAAGTTTGTTTTGTGAAGATCACTTGTTTGAGTTTTATAAATTTTAAAATTACTAAAAATTTACATGATTGTTATTTTAGAATTACTAAAAAATTACATGATCATTACTTCTGAGTTTTCAGATATTAATTGAGGTATGTGTAAATTAACTCAAACACTCATAATTATTAAACAAAACAAATTATCCATAGTCACAGAAATTATTCAAAGAAACACGCAAGAGGTGGGTAAAATGGTAGAAAGCCGGTTTATATCCATTTAGCCACGCAAGGAATGGATTGCAAATGTGATAGGCGTGGCGAGCAGCGGGAGGATGATTTTATTTTATTTTATTTTAAAAAAAATTAAGTCCACTCATAGATTAATTGAATGTGTTCATAAAAAATAACTATTAAATCTGGATTTTAACTTGTGATTTCGCATAATCAACTTTGATTATAAAATTAAATGTTGATCCATCTCTTCAAATTAATTATTTATATTTATAACCTTAACAGGTATAGTTTAATTAGTTAGAATTTAAATTTGTTTTGTGAAGATCACTAGTTTGAGTTTTATAAATTTTAAAATTATTAAAAATTTATATGATTGTTATTTTAGAATTACTGAAAAATTATATGATCATTACTTCTGAACTTTATATTAGTTGAAATATGTGTAAATTAACTCAAACATTCGTAGTTATTAAACAAAAAAATTATCCACAGTCACACCATGAATCTTCAAATAGTTTAGATTATACAAACAATCAATTGTTCATATATAATCCTAATAAATCACCAGCAGATGTTAAGATTTTATGCATGTTTTGTCATTAATTTTGTTTTTGTTTTTGTTCAAAGGTTAATTATAAGTTTTGGGATAAGGTGGAAGCTAAAACTGTCCAAGCTCGCATCAATGGTTTGTAGTGAATGATTCTTGACAATTGTAACATTTTATTGTTTGTGATGTTTTAGCAATACCAAGATAAAATAGAATGATCATACTCATAATTGATACTCCCCAGCCCCGTCCTAACTTGTTTCTCCATGTTTTTATTTTTTGTAAATATTTGATGCAGTCGGGAACAAATGATAGCCAACTTGTTAATTATAAATTAAAATTCTCAAAGACAAATAATATTGTAACTATAATTAAAAAAAACAATAAAATACTTTATTTTTATTTATCCATATTTTATTTACGAAAAAATTATTCCTTGTATAGAAAAAAAATTATTAATATTAAATAGAAAATAAAAATAGAAGAAAATAAAACTTCTAAACTCAAAATGAAGATATAAAAATAATTGAAAAGAATATTTATTTTTTAAAAAAGATTCTACATCGATGTTTTTGGATTAAAAAGACTCATCCTGAAATTTAAATTGTTAGAGAAGCAAAACAATTTCGAAAAAAATCATTTTCTGCCATGAAAACATTCAACATAACATTCTTCCTGTGAGACTTAATAAAAAAACCAATAATCCTTTTATATGGGGGTATTCTCGTAATAGATCATCCTTTCAAGATTTTCAATAACATCACATAACAGCCAATCATTGAATATTGTTGGGTTTTGATACGGATAAAATTGGAAAACAAATGTCAACTAGATTTGTTATAAATTAAAACTCTCAAGAATTAAAAAAATTAAAAACAAAAATAATTAAAAATAATTAAAAAATATTTATTTTTCTAAAAAAACATACACATCAGTATTTATGTACACATGATATGAAATATTTAGCTTGCGCGTTATATCTTCATTAAACTCTATTTATTGTATTTCTTATCTTTTGTAAAGAGTTAAAAAGAAACAAAATGATAATATTGAAAAAATTAAATAATTTTAGTTGATTTGACAACATATTTATTGATTTTTTAAATTTTAATAAAAAAATAACAATAAAAACACATGTAATAAAAAAAACTAGATTGCCATGCAAACAGAAAGCAAGCCACTTTAAATTAAAATTGTTTTAAATTAAAAATTATTTGAATAATAATTCAATAACTTCACTTAACCAAAAAAAACAGTAAAAATAGATACTATATATTTATTAATTATATTTTATAAAATAAAAAGAATTTTAAATTAACAAAAAAAATTCCAAATACAAAATAAAAATCATCTAAAACTCCACTTATAATACACATAAATAAAAAATGAAAAAAATTCTTAAATATTCTCATTTTGAATACCAAAGTAATTCTTCAGGTTTAATTGTCATAGGGAACAACATTTTAATGTAAAATGTCTCTTATTAAGGCTCTGTTTGTTTGCAGAAAAGTTGTTTTATTTTGAAAAGTGAATTCCTGAAAAGTAAAGTATTTTCCGATGTTTGGTAGTGTTATGGAAAATGAACTGGAAAACACTTTCCAGTGTTTG